TGTGTGAAACTACGAAGGAGACTTCCCTCCAATATCATATCCCTCTGATATGATTCTGGCAAATGAAGCAGCATTCCTACTTTTAGCTACCACCGTTTAATTGGCCCTTCACATTTGCACATGCACAGGAGACATTTCTGTCAAAGTGAAACAGTGGGCAAAATGAAGGGCCCTGCCTCAGAGCTTCGATTGGTGGCACTCAGAAGGAGCACCTCATTTTTCAAGATACTTGAACAGACAAGCAATCTTCATGGAAAGCCCACAGAATCCAAACTTTGCCTGATATTAGGCCATGAATGAGGTTATCATCTGTGTTGGCCAACAGGTGTTGCTGCTGCCCCCACAAATTGGAGTTATGAGTTAACCAGCCCCCATTAGGGAAGGAGGGTCGGTTGCCCACACCTCTAGCAAACAAAGCAGGTGCTTTCCTTGCCCATCCAGCCAGGGAGCTGGTTAAATTACATTTGGAAAGAATAGCTTTGCTTCTTTCATGAAATTCAATTACAGAGAAAGAGAGGTAGCACCTTTTGTGATGCGATGGGACAATCTGCGCTTCTTGTGGCCCCCTTCTGTTGGCTACTTTGATCTGAGTGTTATTGTCTGAGTTTAACACCTTCACCTTTAATTCCAAACAGAGGAGGCCTATCCAGCAGTTTTTCTATAGCAAGAATTGTTCAAGTCTTCTTAATAGGAACCCTCAATTATCCAGGAAGCCAGAAACTAAATACACATAGTTTTGGTGAAATATAAGATTATTCTCACCAGTATTAAAACAAGTAGGAGAGGCCACATTAAAGACTCAGGTTTTACTTTCTAAGACCATTGCTTAATAAAAAGCACACTGGCAACAGCTCAGCAGCACATTAGGGCTGGAACCAGTTCAACCCAAAATGCAGAAAGGAGATGTAACTGAGTAAAACAATACAGGTTAGACAGGCTCTCCTGCTTACCTTAATAAGATCATTATTGTAAAGCGCTATCATCATCTTGACATGACCCAAGCCTGTGGCAGTTCAACACTATAGTATTGCAGATTTGCATCACAATCCTTGGTGGAACAAAACCACACTCCTCAGCCGGGGAGAACTGCAACCTAAGCTGCCAGAATCCAATCCTGCACGATAATTCTCACGTACATTTTAGGATCAGAACAGAGTGGATTAGGAGGCCATCTAGCTGAGCTTTCCAATTGACCAAGAAAAAGGGATTTTCACTCATACTCAACAAAAGACGTCTCTCACTTGGAAAGTCAAACCATTTAGTCTCCTCTCCTAACTGAATACCACTCCCTTCTTTCTTCATTTGTCTTTCAGTTGAGTAGACTAATTATTCATCACACAGTTGCATAGACATAACGCTCTAGTTGTTGATTAGGCTTCTTGCATTAGCTTTTTAAAATAATTAATTTCAGATTTATACCCTGGTCTTTCCTTCAGGAATTCAACATGGCATATATGTTTTACGTGTACAGATCACACTAAGCTACAGTTTGCAATTATACAGCTTTATAAATATACTAATTTGTAAGCCATGATCTATAAGCCAGTGGTTGGGTTCTCATAATATAGAAAGCCACAAACAAGCAAACCATTTTATACCTTAACATGAACCCAACTGGACCATTCTCTTCACTATTTTTCCCCACAACAATTCTGCAAACGGTTAAGCTGAGAGATACCTCCTTGCATAAAGTCACTTATTAAGGTTCCATAGCTTAAAAATGCATTTGTGTTTGGTGTCTTGAGTCTTAACTTCGACCTCCTAAGCCCTATAACACCATAGGGTTTTCTGAACATGGGGTATTGTGCCACTGACTATAAGCCAAGCAGCACTATCATATCCATGTTCTGGCAAATATTAGCTGAATTTTCTGGAATCCCTGGTTTACAGGGTTGACTATCAGTGATGAAATACAGCTCAGGACAAATTATCCATGAAGCTGCTCAGCTAATGATACCACTGTACTTAATCTGGTTGGAATAAAAACAGACAATGAGGCCATAATCTAGAACACACTTCTAATCTAACTTGGAGATCTGATCACCTTTCTGAGGTAAAGCTCCTCTTCCCTTGCAACTCTGCACAGGGGCATCCATGATGGTTGTAGCCATCTTGACATTTTTGAGACCCATCCAGGACACCCTTGCCCTGTAGTAAACAAAACTGGAGGGTGAGAGAGCAACCAAGAGGGAGGAGTTTTTCACTGGAAGAACGTCCTTAAATAAGGAGCAATGTGCCTGCTTATGTAAGTATATAACTAATATTGCAGTCATTGTGTAGTCAGATCAGTACATTTAAGACAGGAAAAAAACTGCTTTTCACTTGTCCTTGACATGATTGACAAAAGCCTCTGAAGACTGTCTCTAAAGCAGGGGTAGGCAATACGTGGTTCTCCAGATAGTGCTAGACTAGGGTGCCCATCGTTCCTCACCATTATCAGGAGCAGAGCTATAATTCAAGAGCAAAAGTTGCCATCTTTGGAAGAAGTGATATGGCTAAAATATGTTCCCAAGCAAAAATAATTATATTGCCAATATTGGATCTGAGGCACCGTGGGTAGGGTTGACTGCAGCTGATCTACAGATTTTAATTATGGGGCCTCTATCTTCTGTGCCATTGTCAGACCAGCCTTTGTACACAATGCTTTTTCCACGTCTCCAGCTCTTTAAAAACGGTTGTCTTATTCCTTGCTTCAGGCACTCAAATTACTTTAGCTGCCTCATGTACTGGTTAGTAGGAGAGGGCATGGTACGAATTGGCAGGTGCCTAACTTTTCTCTTAAGATGAAAACATTTCTTGGGTCACTTTCCACATCTAGCATCGAAAGTGGGTTTACAAAATGAGTTACCCATATCTATTTGACATCAGTCTTCTTGGCGGCGGCAGCAGCATTTCTCCGTCTTCCATTTTTGTAGTTCGTTATTTATAGAAGACACAGAATCTTCCATGATGCTGTATCACTGCAAACTGCTTTCCAAAGCAGGCAGGCAGAACATGCATTCCTAATAAAAAGTACGACCCAGAAATACCTGGGCCTAAAAGCGTATTCTGAAGATGCCCTTCTTTCTTATCTTCATGTTAACTCCCTTGGTAAAGTGCACAGCTCCATCATGTAACCCTTGATAGTTAAATTAGTACTCCAAGTGGGGGGGGGGGGACTAAGCAGACTAAGCAGTCTTGTCTTTACATGCTGCAGTTATGAAATCACAGGTAGTGTGGGAATAACCCACAGAGATCATCTAATCTACCCCCTGCCCAGCGCAGGAATCTGCTACTATACTCATTTGGGAAGACTGAGCTGATTTGGAGGTTCCCACAAAGGAGTGCCAAAGATTTGTAAATTCCCTTTCTGAAGGATTACCTATGCCTGGTGACTCTCAATAAAGATGAAACCAGTAGCATAGTGCCTCCTATTAGTCCGTAACAATTATTACACATTATTTGTATTTAGGATGATCATCCTCTTCCACTGAGCAAATGCCTTGAGGATACACATGGATTGGATTGTGAGAAAGGGGACACCTGCCTAGCCAGCCAGGTCAACCAAATCAACCCTGATGATCTATGGGTTGCAAAATACTGACTGGAAAGACATACTCTGATGTGCCATACTCACTTTTTTAAACGTTCTCTGATCAACTGCACATAAATAGCAACAATGCATTCAAGTTGGCAGAAAAATGTTAACTTTACACTACGTAGAGGTTGTATCAGCTTGTGTTTACTTAAGATTCATTGAAACATACCATTTGATCAAGAGTGTCTAAATTTTTGCATACAACTGTAGATCTGTGCTCTTGCTAGAGGAAAAGAAAATCATAACGCAATACATACTTATTGCTACAAAAGTATATTTAGGCTTCACTTTGTTCAGCTCTGCATACCTGATTGCTGTAACCCTTTACATTTCTATCACAGAAATATAGTTCATTGTCTTCGTAGGTTGCATTCCTGAATATACATACAGGTAGTCCTCGTTTACTGACCACTCATCCAGCAACCATTCAAAGTTACGACAGCACTGAAAAAGGAGTCTTACAACCAGTCCTTGAAGTTGTGGCTGTCACAGCATCCCCATGGTCACATGATCACGATTCAGGCTCTTGGCATCTGGCACACATTTACAACAGTCACAGCATCCCACAGTCACTTGATGGCCATTTGGAACCTTCACAGCCGGCTTCTGACAAGCAAAGTCAATAGGGAAGCCAGCAGGAAGTCACAAGTTGCAGTCACATGACATCACACTTAATGACTCACAGTGATTCACTTAATGGCCACAGCCAGAACTGACCTCATAAGGTGGCATGGTCACACGACATTGTGCTTAATGACTGTCCTGCTTAGTGATGGAGTTGTCAGTCCCAATTGTAGTCAGTAACTGAGGACTTCCCATATTTAGAAAATTCAGTTAAATGAAGACAAAATGTTTACATGGAAATATACCCAAAGACAAAATTTGCAGATGAATAAATAGAGCCACAATAATAATCCAAACACTTATGCAAGTTTCTTGAAGGCTTCAAGACTCATTCCCTACAGGCTTCAGGACTTATACATTCCTTGTTAAGACAATGATCAGACTCATATGCCATCTCTGCCCAACCTACCCAAAAGGATTGTTGTAAATGTAAAAAGTGGGGAAAAGGGAGGGGTAGAGAGCCAGGTATATCTCCCTAATAATTGCAGGATGCAAGAAAAACTATTACTGTCAACTGCTTGTTTATGAAACTCAATTTACATGAAGCAGCAACTCAGGCAACAGGTGGGCAATACTTCCCTTGTACTATGCTGTGTAGTGGGTGATTGTAAACATTTCATTAAAAACTAATCTATAGAAACTGTGTAATGTCTATTTGTAACTACTGATGTTATGCTGCTGTTCTCAATTTGATTTATATATTTGTAGTTTTACTCTAAATCTTTCTGAGAGCTAACAGCAACAGGGTAATTATTACTATTATTTATGAAGCAAGCCAAACAGCCTGAGATCTGGGACTTCAGATTTAATGCTAGTAGAGACACAAAATAATTTATAGAACTCCAGCTGTTTCAAAAATATTTTACTGTATTAACAATAATTACATAAGGTAACATCTGTGGTCTTAAAAAAGAACTTGCATAGATACATTTTACAGTTCCTTTTTTTCAAATTAATACATAAAACTTCATAATATGCAAACAACTTTAGTGGTTTCTCCATATGTTCTCAGAGCACAAGAAATTCAAAATTATATTGCACTGGTAAACTTGGGACACTGCATTGCCCAAATTGCACCACTGGAAGAAAAAAGTAACATGAAGAACTTTTGGAGGTTACAGCTGCTGTCATGAGTACAGAAAAACGCTCATTTTTCTTCAGCTTAAAAAGAATGAAATGTTCAATATAGAATCATGATATTCACAATAGTTGTCATTGATGTCCAAAAGGTAAATCAAACCAAAACAAGCCAGGGATAGGGGAATGTTTTGCCCTCCCGAAACTCCTACAACAGCCCTAGAAATATAGCCAACAGTGAAAGATGCTAGAATCAGCAACATCTGGAGTACCAATGGTTCCTCAACCATAAAGTAAGCTATGAAAACTCTTAGCTTAAAAGAATGCCAACGTTTCTGTATATATAAATATATAGTCATTATATATTAGAAGCAGAAAATAGATTTAATGTGTCACAGAAAGGCTAGAGCTCTTCCTTAGCTTTCTGCGTGGAATAATTTTTAAGGAGGGGTAATATTCAAATTGCAATCCATCTGTAATGCAGCCTAGGCAGGATTCTCTGTGGAAAATGAAAGCTCTATCAATAAATACAATAAACTTCATGGTATCCAAAGGAATCCACATCAGAAGCGCAGATCATAGCAAATGAAATGGCTATTGATCAATAACCATTAATGTTTTTATTTTTATAGCGTACAAATATTTTCCTAGATGGTCACTTAAGAGTGCAAGGGTGGTACACCTCGGCTTCCGTATTTTGGGTGACACGGAACACATCACATTTCCACTTTAATGTTTTCTTATCCCATTAAGATGGCAAGCAGGAAATAACCAAAACCTTTTTTTAAAAAAACCTAGCAGTAGCTACTGTATTTGCCCTGAATTTAACGTGTCATCCTCAAAAGAAATAAACCCATCTGGCTGCATTATCATATTCTCTGCAAATCCAAGATGACCTTCCCATTTTAGAGCAAAAATTACTTGGAGGAAAAAAATTCTTAGAGATAAATACAGCAACTTCTTAACTGCATCCCCCTCTTTTATTTCGGTCAAAATAAATAAATAAATAAGAATGGTCAGTGTTTGCATGACATGGTAAACTAAAAACTAGCAACCACATTATAGCCTAATAGGGATGTGCAAAATCTACCATTACAGAATGTAACATTCAGCACTTTTCCAGAAGCTGATTTTCCAAACCAGAACTGGTTTGCAGTGTTCTGGATGAAACAGGACAGGCCCATGTCTGGAACACCACAAATTGTTTCCAGTTCAGAGGATTAACTTTTGGGAAACCATTGGAGCAACCTTGGAATGATTAGATCAGCAGAGTCCAGAAAAGAAACATTCAGTTTCCAGAACAGTAGGTTTTGCCCTAGGGTGTGCAACAGATTTCATTTTGAGCTATTTCAAGCATAAAACTTCACAAATATCCCCTTTCTGAGCACTCAAAAAGTTGCTATTTTGAGCCTTCTGGACACTGTTTGAGCTGTTTTGAACTCAAAATATTCTTGGAATATTCAAAACAGGTCATTCTGCACTCTATGAGATTTCATGCCCCAAACAGTTCAATGCAAAAATTTTTGCACGTCTTTATAGCCCATGTGATTAATTAATGGCTCAGTGTGTTGTATGAACCCAGAACTTTGGGTTCAATAAAACATGGCTCTTCTATATGTTGTATGAACAGAGCTATGGTGTCTAAGGAAGATAATTAATATTCCAGTGCATTTTTTAATTAACTGAATATTATGAGATGACCATAATTTAATCAAAATTATTTAGTGTCAAAGAATTTCCCTTTCAGCACTGAAGAGAAAGTTCAGAGGTTAGACAGAAAGCAGAAGAATAGGGCTATTTAGCATCCCTGAATGAATAAAATAATTTAATAATAGAAATAATTCATTGGATTGGGTCACTACATGGGTCACCTATTCATAACAAAGGTTTTCTCCATTTGTTGTTCTTATAGCATTTGTCCTTATAAGGAGCTACTTTTATCTCTAAACTGTAACTGTATCTTAGGGGTTCTCAGGGTTTCACATAGATAGGCACTGTACATACTACCTGATGGAATCATAAGATAGCCAATATAAATATATTTACTACTATTATAATTAAAAGGTCTAAGATTTAATTTCTATAATTTTGTTTTTACTGGCACATGGCCATGTCATATTTTTTATTTGAAAAAGGTCCCCGAACTTTATGGCCAATAGGCACATTTTGAATGTTGTCTATGTGTCATAGACGTTCTTGCAAAATGGGTTGGGGGATACTCACAAAATGTTTTCCACAATACATGTGGACAATTACAGAACTCACCCAAGAACTCAAGTATGAGGCATAAATCCAGTCTGAGCAATAAACAGAAATCCAATCATTTGAACTGTTTTCCTCTCAGCACTCATTTCACCAATGGCAAACTGATCAGGCTTCACCAAAAAAAGGAGAACAAGGCAAAGGTGAGCCTCAAACAAGAAACAGGAGGATTTAACCCTTTCCCTTTCCACAAAGTTCTTGGTCTAGCTTGACTCAAAATTACAAGGGAGGGCTGATCCTGATAAGGAGGGGCATTGGAGGGCCAGGGAGACAAAATATTAAGCCCCTTAAAGCCCATGATTTCAAGTCCCCAATAGCTGCTAATTAATGTAACATACAGTCAGCCCAAGGTCTGAAGTGATCTTTGCATGAAAGTGCTCTGAAGATTTGGGCAGATATTAAAACTGGCATTGTATTATTCTTCCTTCTAACATAGCTTCCCACATTGGAACATATAAAATAACATCTTTTTATATGAATCCCTAACCTTAGGCTACAAACTTTTATCCATTATTTGAAACATTTAGGCATTTACTAAAACATTTTGCTAACAATAAGGCACAGTCCTAGCATATCCCACAACAAATACTAAAAAAGGAAGTTTGCTTCTGTAGAAGGTTTGCATTTTGTACTGTCTGTAGTGCTAGCACCAGGCCAGCAGACGTGGTTACACATCCTCCACCACATTTACTATAAAGTGCAGTATCATTGATCCATTTCCCTTTCTTAAAAGCATTTAATGCTCCATAATTATCTTATCTATAACGTAAAAAAATCAACTTAAAAAGAAGTCAAATTAGGATTTTAAAAATATGTTTAAAATGAACACAGGGCAACCTTTAAAGACTATCTATTGGAGGCAGCATTCAACAATAAAATCAAGATTTTAGCACTCTTTCTAGAAAGAAGTAATAGTTATCTTCCTTTTAGCTATAAAACCTGCATGCAGGCATGAGGAGGCTGGATTGCCATTTCCAGCTAGGTGTCATCTATATAGATGCATATGTGGATGCTGGTGAAGTCTTGCAATCAGTTCTTCCTCCGTTGGTTCTTCCAAAACATCCCTGTAAGGTCAAGCCAGAGTCATCAAAAAATAGCAGAGCCAGTGTCTTAATAAAGACATTATTTTTTAAACGCCAGAGATAACTTCCCTAGCTATTTCAACATCAAAAGCCTCTATAGCCCATCATTCATTACTTAATTTCCAATGTATACTTCATATGCAAAATTATTTTCTGGCTTAATTTTAAAATAGATTCCCTATCAACTTTAATTCAGATAAGAAAAATAGGGTAATGCGCTCTAAATTCTGGCACCATCTGCATGGAGTCCTTAATGCTGTTTCCCGTTGGCGTGTTCTAGTCCCGGCAGTAAAGAAAAAACTGTTAAAACTTGTTTGTCCCACTCCGGAAACATAGTCCTCAATAAGCTTCTTTTCCCAGTTAAAAATATAAAGCTGCTGCATTGCCAGGCCTGTACCTGAACATGAGTTCCACTGTCATTTGATATTCAACTTCCGAGAGAGATGGCCCATGGCAGCGACGGTCCCATTTGTGAATAAAATTCTGCAGTTCAAGAAGAGGAAACAATAGCATTTTAAGAGGGAGGAGCACCCTGCCCGATTCATTTCAATATTTTTAAAAACTCAAGGCAAGCAGCCAACTCATGTGATCAGCATATAACCACAAATGGCTATTTGTGGAAGTCTCAGCAACAAACACTATAACTGGGTTGAAACGGGTGCAGGAAGAGAGAAGACTCCATTCTCTAAGATTTAAGGAGAGCTGCTGCACAAATTTCTATGGACAGCCTATTCAACATTTTTTAATTAACAGTTCAAAGAAAAAATCATACAAATCAATTTGAAGTTGCCCAACATAAAATGCTCCAGATAAAAGTCATCAAAATAATATGCAAGACTTCTGAGACCTAGATATTGTTTGGCATAAATACTGTTCTATCTCTGTGTGTGTGAAAGCTGCTTCCATGGAAAGTCCTGGACTTTCAACTCTAGTAACCCAATCTGAAAATAAAGTTTCCACATAAGGCTCAGTCCTAATATAAGCTGCCCATCCTACTGTTACATCAGGAGATGTGCTACTCCAAGTGAAACCACCTGTGAATGTTCATGTGTTCTTTAGGCCCATTGCTTTGGGTGACCAGTCAAGCATTACCTCTAGAAGCAAGGCTATAAAAAGATTGACCCAGATGACAGAGGAAGTCAACCACCAGGTGACAAAGTACAACTTTGACCAGCTGTAAAAGAAAGAAAAAAATAGGAGGGTGAAATCAAGTCATGCCTATTATTACAATTCCAGTCCTAGAATTCCCTGCACTGGTCTTTTAATATGAACTATAGCACACCATGCATTTTCTGTGTGGTATTCCTTCCAGTTCCTTTTATAAACTACAAATTCTCATATTCTCTTAGATGAATTATCCCTGCCACTTAATCTTTTTTGTTGCCTTTTTAGCATGTTCTCTGGCTCTAGAATTTTCTTGATTTTTTTTCTTATCCTAGATACCCCTTGATATAACCTGAAGTCTACTTCATTGCTCATATGTTCTAATCTAATTAAGACTGTTACCAGTTCTAGACTTTGGAGTTTCTGTATTATAACTAACTTTTCCTTTATTATCCCCTATACCCGTCTTGCTGTACTTGCACACAGCAATAAGCCCAGATTCCTGGCTTATCCTGGCAGTGCTCCAGAATATGCAACCAACTTGTTCCCACTTTATTCTTCATTTTGTCCAAGTGTGTAAAACTAACTAGGATGATGAGAGAGCCTGCCATGAAGTAGGGAACCTATTTTGCTGCTTCTCCATAGGCCAAGGAAAGAATAAAACAGACTATACAGCAAGAGATAAACTCCAAATGTTTTCTCAATTCTGGAGACCTGTTCTGATAACATTTGAGAAGTCCAGGTCTGAATTAGGTTACCGAATGCACTGTCAAAAACATAGCTTTAGCCCATTACTTACGAAGATGAATATCTGGAATATGCATCCAAGAAAACCTGCCAGTTGTTCACAACCATCACATCCCACAGAGTCACTAACGCTGCCTGTCACGTGGACAAGAAAAGAAGTTGGAGTGCGCATTAACCTATTCTGAGATCTTTAGAATACAGAAGAGAAAACTTGGAGATACCAAGCAAACAAACCAGTAATTGAAGCAACTATTAATTAACACATCTTGAGTAATACTCACAGCAAAATCATCAAAGTTGTTTGGCCAATACTCCAGTTGTTCAAAAGTGCCACACTGGAAAGTGGTATTTCCAGTTGTATTATTGATAAGGCTACAACGAAATGATAACTGGAAGTTATTTCATCATGGTATGCAATGTGGCATTGCACAGATCAGATGTTAATGTAGGACCTGATTCTTCTACCACAAGTATACTCTAGAGTCCTTAAAATGAAGAGGAAAATTAACCCTGGATATTTAAATCTGTTACAAATACAGACAGGAGGCAAAAGAACAAGATGCTTCAAAGTTAAAAGGATACAGTAAGAAAGATAAACAGTCAGCCCTATACTGCAGCAGAAACATTAGCTTTAATTTCAAGAATGCAGCAGAAACATTAGCTTTAATTTCAAGAAATAGTGTTAGTGGGGCTTAAACTAGGAATCACTCAGTCCAGAATGCTTTTCTCTGCAAGGACTCCACCTTAAAGACATTATGGTACCTTAAAAGAAGAAGAAAAAAATGTCTCTACCTAAACCCAGTGATTTTTTTTTCACTATGGTGAAATTAGAACCAGTCTTACAAAGTCTGACTTCCAAGCACAGTTGAATCTTAGAATCACTACTGTAAAAGACTCTTCCACAAGAGAGAAAACTGGCCCATTATAGCTCTAAATTATTCTTCTTTGCATGCTTTCAAAGAAAGAGTGCCTGGGCAGAAGAATCCATATATTTGGGCTAGTGTTACCCAGCTGGCCAGAAACACATTGATGAGTAATGTAGACCTCATGCTGAAGTTTTGAAGTAAGCCCAATGCAAAATCAGGGATTATTCTTCCACCCTTGGTTCAAAGGGGAGAAAAATGAAGAGTCTATGCCATGCTACACTTCAGAGACGCTTTCCAAAGCTCAGTATCACAGAGAAGTTAAGATTCTTAGCCTCTGAAATTTTCCTAAGTTTGGGACCAGGGAGAAACTTCCCACTGATGTTTCTTCCTGCTGTCCATCAGCACTAGTCCCAGCAATGGCTCAACAAACAAACAACTTCTGCCTCTGCCCTGCTCTCCCATGTCAAAGGCTGCTAACATGCCACTTCTCCCCCTCCAAGGAGCCAAGCTAGAAGACGAGGAGATGCACAGCTAGAGGAGCACTGGAAAGTGATGAGAAGGGAAGCGGAGGGAGGAGGTTCACATGTACAAAAAGGAGAAAAGAGAAGAACAGGTGTGCAATCCACATAACTTAGTACAAATTGGCAGATGGGGAAAGGGCTTAACATATCAGATGTGGGATGGACAGTTTTCCAAAGTAGAAAACTGTCTTCTAAGTTGATTTGTAATGACAAAAAGATGCCAGTTGCAAATACAGTGTTATGGAAATTTGGCAGCTTCAAAGTTTACTTAATGCTTTTCAGATAATTATCCCTAGAGAGAGTATAGATATACTGTATATAATCACTAAACAGAAAAAAAAATCTGGTATGATTTGAATTTAAAAAAAAAACTCTCTATGACCTTATATAAATTAGCCTAATTTGCACAGGAAGCTTCCCCAGAAGATCTTTATCACAACCGATCACTAATATTTAGCAGTATTACAGATCTATTTCCATGCTGTACTAGATGCTACACAGAACTGTAGATTCTGACCTTATTGCAAGCAGGGTTGGCATGCTGACTGCTATCTTACCTGACATTGCCTATGGGAGTAATAGTGCCTCCAAACAGCTCCATGCCAATTATTGCGAATGCATAGAAAGCCACCTGTGAAGTAAAAGCTGACGTCATACTGCAGCCAACTGAGAATGACGCAACAACATGACATAAGATACATTTAGGTGACATAATAAACCGTAAGTGTGGATTATTGTTGAACTCTGTTTTCTTCTCCTCCCCATTGCTTAAGCTTACACTACTGTTTGCATCATATTTCCAGGACAGTGATCCCATGATTTGCTGTTCATTCATTTACATGGACACAGTTGAGTTACCTTGGTTCAGAACTACCAGCAGACTGCATATGAAGTTTACTGTAAACCACAACTGGCTACTTCCTAGTTGCACTGCTCTGGAGCAAGAGCAAGTGACAAGTTCAGTGATAAGCTATATTTATGGTTTGCCATGTTACCTGGACTTGCCCATAGCCAAGCTCATATTTTCCAGGAAAAAAAAAGTATTTGTTAATTTTGAATTTTAAAAGTAGAGAGGTAAGAAGTAAATATACAAAAGACACATGTTTGGCGATCTTAAGAGCAGATGCAGATAGTCAGGAAAATTTAAATCACCTTCCTATTCCCATGCTTTCTGACACTGCAGAGTTGTGCACAGCTCTTCCTCATGTTATAACAACTTCTCCACTCACACTCTTTGGGGCCTGTAGCCAAACATTCTAACAGCGTACATTTTATCCACCGCTATTCCTATAAATACAGCATGTACACAGAGATAGTCTGTGGTGCTTCTGCACATAATAGAGGTTCCTTCGAACAATTAATTATCTCACTGTGATTCTCATTACCCTGATTTTCAGATGGGCACTAAGTACTTTCTGGTGGAAAAGTATCATAACATCTATAAGCAATTTTTAAAAAGTCAACTTTATTTTATAAAAATGATCATAGAAATGCTTTCAAATGTTGTCTATCTGTGTCAGTTTTTTAAAGGAACTAAACAGTGTATCACGGCAAATCTAATGGAGTCACAGTTACTTATAATAGTGTCAATGTGTGGCATACACAAATTGTATGGGTATGCCTCTTTTTCTCATACACACATGTTATTACTGGCCTTGCTTTAAGGAAGATAAACATTTCAGTGAGCCTGGGAAAATTGTTAGTATTTATGTCTCTGTTATGGAAAAGTCCCATGAATTATCTGCCAAAGTATTTAAAAGATTTTAATTGCATTGGATTATCTTCACCCTGCAATGCATAAACCTGCCAATAGGTGGAGCCTTCCTCCTTGTGATAACTGCAGAAAGTCAAATTAATTATTATCTAAATCTCTTAAAATAAAGAAGTAAATGGTACAATTTAATGACTGCACACAAATGATTATATGTCTCAAAGCAACAAAGGGATTCTACAACTGGAGAGAGAGAGAGAATGTAAATAATTCTCAAAATAAGAAAGACCCATTCTAGGCCTGAAAGATAATTAGCTCTAACTCCAGAATGTGTTCTAAAGCAGAAATATCATGCAAAACCTTTCCATGGCTACACTGTTAGAAAAGAATAAGAGTATTACACAGATAAAAGCCAAGAAGGAATCATTGCGGATTAGTGCGGGGGATCAGCAATTCTTCTGAGCAGGAAATTTCCACCTCTCTCATAGCGTGGCAACTGATGAGCAACATCTGGTTTCTTGAAGTCTAATCCTTCAGCAGTCTAGCACTGGAATGAACTGAATAAATGTATTTATCTAAAATACCTTTTTTCCCAATTCCCAGAGATCTACAACAAAAAGATAGTCCAGGTCAGGAGTCCCCAAACTCTTCAGCTTATCAACCCCTTCATGAAGTTTCAGATTGTTCATCAACCACCCAAACATTTATTATATGAAAATAATTTAATAAATACTACTTTAACTAATAGTACTAATAATAATAACAACAATAATGGGTTGTTGTTGATAATAATAGATTGGAGGTCAATATTGACCGCTTTGAATTATAACCTGGTCTAGACTGTAATTAAAAAGACACATTAATAATATAAGTATCACAAAAGGTAAGAAGATGAACAGCAAGCAGGAGAAACAAATTCAGGTACTAAAATTTAGATATAGTTCTCATAAAGGCCACAAGTGGACAGAAAAGGGTAAGGATAGGAGCTGCTAATAGAATTAGAATGATTCTCTTTTCTCCCTCTGTTGCAACCTGTCCAGTAACATTCACTGCATTTACTACATAACACTGACTATGGAAGACTCTGGGTCACTCCAAGACAAGGGATATTTTAATGGCAATACCTTACTGGTCTTTGCTAACCTCAGAGTATTAAATTAGTATTTGGATGAGAGACTATAGGAAACCCCACAGCTCCCAAACAAATTATATGGATCTATCCATATATCATCAAGAGATGAGCGTCTTTACTTTTTTTCTTTTGAGAAAGAGAGAGAGAAAAAGAGAGAGAGTGTCAGTCTCTCTGTTGGTATAGTGATTAAAGGCAGCAAGCTAAAAATCAGGAGATTGTGAATTACAGTTCTGTCTTAGCCACAAAGCCAACTGGGTGACTTTCGGCCAGTCACACTCTCTCAGCAATAGAAGGCAATGACAACCATTTCCAAAAATGTTGCAAACCGCAGAGACTTGTCCAGGTAGTCGCTAGGAGTCAAGACTGACCCAGAGGGACACACACACACACAAATACTATATGCTGTATGAATAATTTGGGATGTGGGGAATTTGAACAATGCAAGTATCATAGCACACACTCCATGAATATTCTTACAAGGCTCCTGCCTTCTTCATAGCTGAATGTCTTGGGGAGAGCAAATAAATAAAACTAGGGAAAGATTTCCTCCTCCCCAGACTTTTCAATTCAAAGGGATAAGAGAAGCCCTTAAAAGCAAACAGCGCCCCAGAACTGGATGTTTTGATATTACAGCTTATCAGGATCTAAGCTGCCCCTGAGCTTCTGTGGTTCCCAAATATTCTCTAAATCCATTTAGTATTTTTTCTTATTTAATTTCTTTAAAATTCACAAATTATTTTTCTGCATTCCTGAAATACTCCTCAGATGTGTAGAAGGCTTCCAAATGTAGCTTTACTTCAGTGCTGACATCAAGTCTGCCCTTAGTCTATACCAGTGTTTCTCAACCTTGAAGATGTGTGGCTGGGGAATTCTGGGAGTTGAAGTCCACACATCTTCAAGCTGCCAAGGTTGAGAAAGACTAACTCTGCAGGACTCATATCCTAACTGTGCAGAGCACCATTCCTTAAAAACAAGAGCATTAAAGACTCCAACCAGCCTGTATAGGCCTCATGGGTATCCTTGTATCCTCCAGCTTCAAAGTCTTCCAATGCTGTCCTACATAGCAATTCAGGTTTAGAGCTGGTTGCCTTAACACTTTAACAGGAATACAAGAGGGAAAGATAATGTAGAAAATATGAAAGATATTATTCATCTGTGAAAATAACCCTTCATCTATGAAAATCCTCTTTTTTCTGGGAAGCATTTTTTAAGCTCAAAATATGCCTCTCATTCCTTCCCCCAAGACTAGGTATACACTGATACAGACTACATTCTCTCTTAGTTGACAAATTAATTTTCCATGAGTCAGCTACTCTTAGTATTCCATAGATCCTGGAAGTTCACAGCTCATTCTTAACCCATGTTGGTGTTATGTCTTCTTTTGATTTAATTTTTTTTTTTTAACAACAGATTTATGCCTGTAAACCTAGGGAGATCCCACAGAGATAAAGGTATCATTATCTCTGTACTGGGTGTTCGACCAAGTTCAGCAGTAGAGAGAAAAAGAGATAGAAAGATAGGAATGGATGGGCAGCCACTATGAAAAAACTATCTGATTAATTTATTAAAACAATATGGTAGCCAACATTCATTTCCATAAATTGCCAATGTTTCTTGACAAAAAAATATTTCACAGAAGACGGAATAAACAGAGACGCACAAATCATTCTTGGTTTTTACTTACCACTAAAATTCCTGCAAAGGTTCTTATATTTTTCACTAGATCCAGCAGTGTACTAGCAACTAAAGACATGAACTTGGGGGGAAGAAAAGAATCATTAGTGGGTTTTTTTATATCCTTTCATCTTCTTAAGAGAGAAAAGCAAAATTAAAATCTACATAAAAGAGTGGAATTACTGTAATGTTTGGGATGATCCGTAAAAATCTGAACACAATCAACATATTTGCTAGACGAACCATGTCCCATAGAGATAGCAAGCCCAACATTTCAGGTCTCCTAGGAAAACAGAAAAAGAGATTTGCAGGAAAAAATAGAGAGGAACAACCAGCAACATTAACAGTGGCTTTTTTTCCACCAACCAAAACATAAATTTAGCAACACTAGATGTTGAAGAACAAAAAAAAAAAAGAAACCAAGATTATGTGGACTTACATAATAGCCTCAATTCTCAAATCTTAACCATTATTCTTCATTCTCAGATGGCTTTGATTATTTCAAGATTAAATGTAACAGGATGGAGTTCACACATGTTTGCAATAGTTTTAAAGGTGTGATCTGATAGGTCTATAAACCTACTTCTATTTGTATTCCTTTCTAAAAGGTTTCCCTACTGGGATATACAATATAAATGCTATGTTGCAAAATTCCAAGGTTGTAGTCTTTCCTCTGCAGATACAGAGATCTTATTTTCACATCCTTCTGAAAAAATCCCTTGATACTTCTAAATAGAAAATGGAAAAGCCTCCCCATCATCAGAAAAAGGTCATTTTATACTGCATAAGAGATAGCTTCTGCTTTTACATTTTTCCATTCCAATATTCTAACAGAACATAATCAGATGTTACTAGAAGCACTGCTGCAGATACCAATTCCAAGGTTGCCAAACATTGCTTACTAAGGACACATACCAGCCTGGATGAGGAAACCCATATACAGCAAATGTGGACACCTCCAAAACCTTTGAGAAGAGAATTAAAAAGTAAAAATTATAACTGATTGGGTTGTAACATGTCCATTTGCCAGCAAAAGCAAACACCACTGGCAAAATGAATTCCTATCTCAGCAGAATTCACAATGACCCCCAACATTATTCAAGAACGGGGAACAGATGGGGCAGACAGCAAAAGGATGTAATGAAGAAGAGATGAAGAAGTCCATTGTTCATTATTGGATGAGACCTATTTATTAGAAATTAATGTTCTATTCAACTATAACATGGGGAAGGGGAATGAACAATAACAATGTTCAACAAGACCTTTTTAATTCAAACAGAAGACAGCCCTGAATTTAAGATGAGCACCCCCCTCCCACAGGATTAAATGGGGGAAAAAGTGGTAAACACAAACAAAATCCTATATTCTGCCCATCTTAATTGAGATTGCCAGCTTTCACTGAAATCATTCCTGGAAGTGTGTGTGTGTGTGAGTGTGTGTGCGTGCGTGCGCACGCATGCATATGTCCTAGCCTGAAGTGAAATTAAAAAAAAAGGCAAGGCCATGCAAAATATTAAATTTATTGTAATTCAATTAATGTATTAATTAATTATCTATCAAATAAAGTATCTCATTTGAAGGGTCAGTTGATTCACATCTACTTATCTACACACAGACACATATCCGCACACACTACATAGATATACACTACATACACACACAAACCACTCTCTGATTTGCACGCATACAGAGGACTACACATACCCACTTAGAGAAAAGGAGACCATGGAAACCTGGCCTCAGAAATCGATAGAGATTTTCATAAAGCAAGTTCAAAGGAATATCTTTATCAAATATCTTCATCAAAACAAAACACTTCTCCAAAACTCTTCTGGAAGAATTATTAAGTAAAAAACAAAATGGAAATAATTCAGCAACACTTACCATGAGAACAAAAGTCAGAAGCCCATCAAATATGTTGCTTGGATAGGATAAATATCTTTTTAATCCCAAGGCCACTATTTTCAGCAACATTTCCAGAAAGTAGTAAAAAATAAAGAAACAGTTTGTAACCTTGAAAAAATAGAGTTAAAGTGCAATTAAAAACTAAGCTTTTAAGGAGTAACAAGTACAGGATCTGTCACAGAGTAGTTGGTCTTACCCCTAAAAAAAAGTCATCTCGCAGAGTAGGTTGTTTATCTGCATCTATTACCATTACTACCTGGGAAGGAAAAGGTCCACAGGTTATCAGGGACAGAACAATTACAGTACATTATAAGTAGTGCACACATAAAATATGCATCTAAAACATATAAAGTATAAAAATCACCAGTTCATAAAAAATGTTATTCAACCAACTGCCTACTACTTGTTAGGTACAGAGTTATAAGATCTGCATACGAATCAACTCTCCAAAAGGTTTTATATGCTGATCCACTGACCAGCCATATACTGACATATCAATGGACTGCCTTTTATTTGAGGAGTCAAGCAGTCTAAGAACATAATGAGTCATAGAAATAAAATATCCTCTACGCCTGTAACTCTCAAGACCACAGTGCTAGGCTGCTCCTACCAGTTCCCACTTACATGGAGTTGCAAACACAAATATCAGCAATAATCAGGGCAAAGCTACTGGATAAAATATCTGACCAAGACTAAGAAGACCTAGGTTCAAATCTGGTTTATCATGAAGCATCTAAAGATACAGCAGAGCAGTTGCATAGCCTCAGCCTAATCTATCTCACACAGTTGTGAAAATAAAGACACAGGTCCAACCATCAGCTTCTTACAGGCAAAGAGAACAGATAAGCATTGCATTAATTATCATTCTTTCTTTAAAGCTAGCTGATACTGCTTCACAACGTTTTTTTAATCCTCTCTTTGCGGTGCAACCATAGCAGGGTGCTGAAGCCTTAATCTAGGATTCCTGTATTCTTCAGCGGACAGATGAAGCTAATCTACACAAAATGATTAGAGAGATTTCTTAATACTTTAAATACTTTTCTTAAGTACTTTCCTTATATACAATATTAAAACTGGTTTCGGCAGAGAACTGCTCCTTTGAATGGCACCATATACTTACACATACACAGAAGATGTTTGCTAGAGCTACAGCATTCCCCAAGTACCCAAAGTAGTGATGACCAAAGATAAACTGAACTCGCTGTAGGAATAGTGACTGATAATCTGGTTTGGGAGGATGCTGAAAAGAAAGCAGAATAAAAAAATCTGTCAGGAACTATTTTTACAGGATGCCTTTAAGAAAACGTGGCCTTGAGATATTGTCTGTAAAGGGCATACCACTTTATCAGCTTCATGTATATGCCTGGGCAATGTCTGCTATTGACAGCACTATTATAATTCTCCTTAAGCATATCCTCTCTTTAAAGGCTGGGGGGAAAGGATATCATGACAGAGTGACAGGAAAGAAAATTATACCTGCGTCTTTTTAAATGCACAGCTCAGTCAATGGTTCATAAAAAAAAAAAAGCCTTCTAACACAAAAAATGGATATAGCCCAATTATCAGCACTGATTACTTATCAATAATCTGAGCAATTTAGAGTATAACTGGTATGTAGATAGGCTCTGGCATGGAGACGTGTTACAGATATTTTCACACTGTTGCAGATATCTTCACACAATTACTGCAAATATCACAGCCCTCCTAATAATCTTGCATTCAGACAGCCGAACATTACTAATCAGTAGCCTCTTTTGAGGACACAGAGATGCTGTTGTAATAGAAGGATACATAACTTCCAGCCTCTAGAACACTTCCAAAAGTTACTGCCCAAATGTAATATGTAATTAACAAAAGGGGGAAAGTATGTTTGTCCTGATCATGTCTATTTCTCTTATCCACAGCCCCACAGATAGTTAATGTATCCACATTAACATATACAGCCCCTAATCACTCCCTGGAAGTTTCAGAAATGTCCTTGAAACATGTACTTGTTTCTTATTACTTCTCATTGCACAGAATTTCAAAGTGGTTTTACAACAGTGCTACAGGAAAAGAGAAACAGTAGATAAAACCAGCAGCTGGGGAAAGCCAATAGAAAAATGTGAGTTTGGGACAGGCACCATTGTAAAATCCTGTCCAGCCTCCTGACATTGCCAAGAATTGTTCTTCAATTTCATTATAGTGTCTGGACAGATTCACATACTTATAGCTCACAAGTTTATACAAACCACATCAACAATAGCTAATCTCATACCTCTTTAACTTTATGTTTGTCAAGTTCATCAAAGAGTGTCTGAAACTGAGTAGCCGACAGCCCTCCTGGAGGACAAGACTCAAGCTTCTGCAAATGTAACAGAAACAGGTGTTTATCGTGCAGATTTCATGGGTCAGTAAAAACAATATCTTTAAACAAACTAAAGATAACACATATTTAAATAAAAATGTGCGTCCTACCCTAATAATTGCTTCCTTGCAATAGGAATCCATTTTTACTTTCTGAAGTACTTGAACAAGAGCCCCGGATTGGACACACAAGCTATGAAAGCAAAAGCAAAATATCTGGGCATAAACCTTCAGCTGTTCAACCTACACACACACACACACACTCACACACTGTGCATAATTGTGCACAATGACTAATTTTCCACCAGTTCTTTAAGATGTCTTTCACTTACACATTTTTATTGATCGCAGTCTCTTTCAAAGAACAAAGAACTTCAAAGGCAGCCCGGATTCCCAAGCGTCTCCGGAAAAGCGATGATTGAACCGATTTCTAAAAATTGAAAGAAAGAAAAGCCCCTCCAAAATAATATCAGAAAGATACAGACACCTGATCCAATAGATATACTATACACACCACTACTGCTAAAGAGAAGGTTACAGAAATGTCTTGAGGTAGCAATTACTGAAACCCAAAGATATGAATCTTGGTTTTGCTGAACTGCAGAATCAGGATGGCAGAAAGGAAGTGAATATTATCCAATCATACATTTATTAAATTTCTCAGTACCAATTCAAAGGAATTATGGGCACGAATCTCAGAAAAGGAAGCCACTTTCTTACATACCCAGGGGCCCCAAAGGTAGATTCCATTGATGACTTTAACCCCTCTTTTTATGATACCAAAAGCCCCTGGAGTTTGTTCCCCCAACGTTCAACAAGTAATGTCCAAATCACAGAGGGTAACAAAAAGCAAAGGAAGAAGGATGTGTAAGCCCTCTGACAAACTTAAACACAGAAAAATGTTTAACCCTGCCTATTCAAAGCAAAATTTTCAGCCCACCTACTGGGATGTCATCAGTACAGTGTGGGCCCAGTGGTTAGTGAAAAATTAACTTGTTTCCACTAACCATAGCCAAGACAACCCAAAGTCTGGCCAGGTCTGTACATCAGAATATTAAAAAGACAACAGGAAGCTGAAGAAAACATTATATTGTATACAAACAGGAAGACCATCAGCCTTATTTCATATGATCAGGAAGTACTTTTGATAATTGCAATATGAACGGACAAGTTGCATGACATAGTTAAGATAGTCAAACTTTGCAGAGAAAGCTCTCTTTTTGAGCATGTCTATATAGGTTTTCACTGAATGTAGTTCATAAGTTCAGCTGAAGTGTTGCCAGCTAACAAAACATTGTTATATTAAAATCTGTATAAACTCAGATGATCACACTTTTCTGTCAATTTTTGACTACATATTAATTACAATTTATTTATTTAAATGTATTGGCTGCCCATCTCCAGTGGATATTATGTTGATTCTTGTTTTTATAACATTAGAAGAAGACAAGGAACAGAGGCTGTCTAAAAATAGAGCCTTGTATAAAAACAAAGAGGGGGAAGCTTCATCCCATTTGGGGCAATCATGTCACCTGAAAAGAGCTCTGGAAAAGACACACGTTGGACATCTGAAAAAGAAGCATGTTATATGGGGAATTGTGTTATGTTGTGAAGATAAGAATCATAGTTTGGATGCAAAACCAGGAAAAACATAGTGACAGAAATCTTTCTTCATCCAGTGGCAATTAATATGCAGTTAAGTGCAAATTATACAACTGCCAGAAATATTCACAACTTTCTGTTACCTTTTTTCTGGAAAACTTTCCCTTGTTACAGTCACTTTGTGATTAGCATCAATAAGTTGCTTCCTGAAATCATTTTCAGAGTTTCTTATAAAAAGGGTATGAAGTGCTTTCAGGATTTCAATTAAAATACCAGAATTATGGGGTGAGCAAATAGCTCACTGAGAAATGCTTGCTCACCATTTTGATTTTCCAAAATTTTAGAGATTATGATTCCCTTCACACAAGCAGAATGCCACAATCACCATCACAATGTGACAACCACTAATCTGGCAGGCAGTCAAATTCATGGATTGTGGTCACAGTGCTTACATGGCTGCAGCATTTGTCTCCGCAGCAGAAGTATGAATTCAGACTATGTAGAAGCATGATGTTTGCAAGAGAGCAGGATTTTACCACAGTTGTATCTGCCTGTACCATTCCAGTGGCCATGACACCAAGCGCAGTATTGAGGATTTCCTGCTCAGTAGCCTGAACTCTGATTTAGCATTTTGAAACTACAGTGGTACCTCAGGTCACGAACGCTTCTGTTCATGAACAATTCAGTTCATGAACAGCACCGTTCGCAAAATTTTGCTTTCGTTCGCAAACTCCGCATCGGGTGATGAACAGGATCCGCGGCCATTTTCCCTGCTGTGACATGTGGTCGTGGCTTCCTATAGGGAGGGGACTCTCCCTCCAAAGAGTAACGCCTCCCCACCCGCCTTCCTGTCCTCCACGCCAGAAGTCGCCTTGAGCAAGGTTAGCGTTCTCTCTCTTCGTACTGTACTGTACTTTGTTTCATATTTTTGTGGTTTAAAAAAAAATACATGTGGTTCAGAACGGATTAACCGTATTTACATTGAATCTTATGGGAAAATTTGATTCGGTTGGCAACCAAAATCGGTTGGCGACCAAATTCGT